TAAATGGATGTGAAAATAAGCAGATTAGTTGGCTGGGCACAGTAGCTGACGCCTGTAATCCCAGCAGTTTAGGAGGCCGAGGCGGGCGGATCACAAGGTCAGGAGATCGAGACCATCCTGGCCAACATGGTGAAACCCCGTCTCTACTAAAAATACAAAAATTAGCTGGGCATGGTGGCACGTGCCTGTAATCCCAGCTACTCAGGAGGCTGAGGCAGGAGAATCACTTGAACCAGGGAGTCAGAGGTTGCAGCTAGCCGAAATCACACCACTGCACTCCAGCCTGGGAACAGAGCAAGACTCTATCTCAAAACCCAAAAAAAAAGAAAGAAGGAAAATAAGCAGATTAGCCAAGGAAAGTAATACAAATGTAAATTACTTTCAACTGGTTATAGGTGTAAAAACGGGGACAGAACACCTATTATTCCCAGGCGCCCTCTGGAAAAGAAGCGATTAGGGATTAAGGGAGAAAAACTAGAAGTGTCTGGAAGAAAGGTGGACAGACAGAGAGGAAGAAAAGAATGACCAGCTTAGAACAGGGACTGCACGTTCCGGGCATTGAGCTGGCACGTGAATGAAATGCCACCTGGAGAAGGACAGGGCAAAGATGCTGAAGCAAGAGGCCAGGCAGAAAGACACAGCTGGCCCAGCAGTGAGGAGGCACAGGCTCAGCTGCCTCCACGTCAGGAGGTAAGACACACACAGGTGGCTATTCTCACAGATGCCTTCCTGCAGAAGGGCAGGCAGATTTAAAACAACCCTGCAGCCACACAATACAAGTCTAAGAAAGGATTCCAGAGGAGAATCAGAAAGACAGCTGCTTTTCTTCTCCCTCAGACAGTCGAGCAAAATTATTAATATGAAGTTCAGGTGCTACATGATCCCTACAAACACAGCGGACTCTTCTTCGCCATCTGTAAGACACTCCCCAGCCGCTACCCCTTCCTTACCCTTCCCATCCTACAGCTTCCTCCTCCAGGAAGCCTCCCCTAATCCCCCAGGGTCTCTCTGTGATGTGCTCTTAAAACACTCTGGAGAGGCGAAGGTTGCAGAGAGCCTAGACCACGCCACTGCACTCCAGCCTGGGCAACAAGAGCAAAACTCTATCTCAAAAAAAAAAAACCAAAAAACAAAAACACCACCCTGGACTCCTGCTTCACAACCCTTTCCTGATTGAATCAAATAGGTATTCACTTAAAATCTGCTCCCACTATAAGAAGATAAACACCATGAGGCCAGGGACTACTTCATTCTTATTAAATTCCCAGTATCCAAGACTCACTCTGCCTAGTACATATTTGAGGCTCAAACTATGTGTTGAATGAATGATTCAATCAAAGAGAAAAACAATGAATTAAACAAGTAATGAATAAAACTGGCAGGTATCTGGAATGCAAGACCAAGGTGCTGGAATTATTTTCAGCATAAAAGAGAAGGAGAGAGCCCCACACGGTGGCTCATGACTATAATCTCAGCTCTTTGGGAAGCTGAGGCAGAAGCCAGAAGTTCGAGATCAGCCTGGGCAACATATCAAAACTCTGTCTCTACAAAAAGAAACAAAAAAACATGTTTTTGGCCCCAGTGGCTTATGCCTGTAATCCCAATACTTTGGAAAGTCAAGGCCAGTAGATTATTTGAGGCCAAGAATTCGAGACCAGCGTGGGCAACACGGCAAAACCTCATCTCTACCCACCCCAAAAAATTTTATATATATATACACACACACACACACACACACACACACACACACACACACACACATTATATATATATATACACACACATACATACACACACAAACACACACACGCAAAAGCCAGGTGTGGTGGCACATGGCTGTAATCCCAGCTACTCAGGAGGCTGAGGTGGGAGGATCACTTAAGCCCAGGAAGTTGAGGCTGCAGTAAGCCATGATCATGCCACTACAGTCTAGTCTGGGCAACAGAGTGAGACCCTGTCTCAAAAAAAAAAAAAAAAAAAATCAGCCAGGCGTGAAGACACACACCTGTAACCCCAGCTACTCAGTAGGCTGAGGTGGGAGGAGTGCTTGAGCCCAGGAGGTAGAGGCTGCAGTGAGCTGCGATCGTGCCACTGTACTCTAGCCTGGGCAACAGAGTGAGACCCTGTCTCAATAAATAAAAAGAGGAAGGGCACATAGGGCAAGTCCTCGAGAAGCCGACAGACAGCCCAAAGCGGGGACCAGCAGCTGTGGCCTTGTGGGACCACCTGGCCAAACCAACTATCATATGGCTCAGTGAACTCGCCAACTAGGATCGTCTTTTACATTTTTACATAGCCGAAAAACCAACAAAAGAACAATGATTTTTTTTTTTTTTTTGAGACAGAGTCTCACTCTGTTGCCCAGGCTGGAGTGCAGTGGCATGATCTCTGCTCACTGCAACCTCTACCTCCTGGGTTCAAGCAATTCTCCTGCCTCAGCCTTCTGGGTAGCTGGGATTACAGGTGTGCACCATGACATTCAGCCAATTTTGATATTTTTAGTAGAGATGGGGTTTTACCATGTTGGCCAGGCCAGTTTTGAACTCCTGACCTCACATGATCCACCTGCCTCAGTCGTCCAAAGTTCTGAGATTACAGGCGTGAGCCACCACGCCTGGCCAAAGCAATGATATTTTATAACACGCAAGTTATTTGAAATTCCTATTTTGAGATGCATAAATAAAATTTTACTGGAACACAGATACACTCATGTGTTGACCTATCATTCGGGGCTACTTCCATGCTGAGACAGTAGAGCTGAGAGGCTGGGACAGAGACCACATAACCCTCAAAGCCCAAATACTGACTACTTGGCCCTTCACAGAAAAAGTTCCCTGACCCCTGGCCTGGAGCCTCTGTGGAATCACTATGTCCCAGCACCCATAAGAAAACTCTCACACAGTGGCATCTGCTAATGTCTGAGTCTCAGGAAAAAGCTGCCAGACACTGTCTGTTAATATAAAATGTGACTTAAACAACCATTAATAGAGTGCTGGTGAAATTAATAGCATACCCATCCAATGGATCACTACACAGCTATTTAAAAGAATGAGCTAGACTAAAATGTACAAAGTATAGAAAAATGTCTGTATATACCATCAAAGTAATTTAAAGGGTAACACAGAATATACTTTCCAATTTATTTTAAAAGCTAAGTGTACCTATGATTAAAAGGTGAGACCAAGGATTCTTTTTATTTGAAATCTTTTTGTACTTATTGAAATTTTGTTTGTTTGATTTTGAGATGGAGTCTTGCACTGTCGCCCAGGCTGGAGTGCAGTGGCATGATCTCAGCTCACGGCAACCTCTGCCTCCTGGGTTCAAGCAATTCTCCTGCCTCAGCCTCCTAAGTAGCTGGGATTACAGGCGTCTGCTACCACACCCAGCTAATTTTTTGTATTTTCAGTAGAGATGGGGTTTCAGTACGTTGGCTAGACTGGTCTTGAACTCCTGATCTCATGATCTGCCTGCCTTGGCCTCCCAAAGTACTGGGATTACAGGTCTGAGCCACCGCACCCAGCCTGTACTCTGAATTTTTTTTACCCTGAAAATAAACTATTCTCTAACTTAATAAAAGATAAAGCTGCTGAAATTCAGAAAGTCATTTTCCCCCATGCCCTTTTGCAATAGTGTAGCTTATTTGTAACAATAATGGATCCAAATTGATTGACGATCTCATGATCCTACAGTCCAAATTCTGTGTTTTGCAGATGGGTGGTGCATACATAGACACGCTCTTCTCTGAAACTTGAAGTCGCTGGAAACAGTGCAAAGCTGTTCATGTGTTTGTTTTGAGGAAGTGTAAGATTAGAACATTCAGAAATAGTCCTACTTCCCTTTTCCTAGAAACTGTCACCTCTTCAACTAGACCACCCCTCTCGAGCCTGCGGAAGGTCAGGTTGCCAGGGGATACGAATAAACCAGCTGCCTTCTTTGCGTCTCTGCTGAACAGCAGCTGGCTCCCCTGTTTCTAGGACTCCCTCCTGGGGCAGGCTCATAATCATAAGCTGTAGCAATGATTTCCCCAGGTGGGAAGGGGTGGTCACATAGTCAGGCGGGCACAGAGGCCAAGGCTGAGCCAGCAGGTGGATTTGGGTAGGATTTCATCTTCTCCCTTGGCATGCATGTCTATGATTCCCACCAAGTCTAACTTTCCTTGGTTTTAATCCTCTTAGTTCTCTCATGGTAACTTCTTTGGGGAGTCACAGAGATCAAGATACAGCTCTATTTAGCTGGGTTGCCCTGTCTTGCCTTGCCCAAGACCATAGCCTGCAACAGTACCCTCTGTTCACCTTGCTGCAGAACCTGCCACACTGTGCACCCCCTTTTATAAACCATCTACAGCCAACTTCTCAGAATCCTGGGGTCATTTAAAAGCTTGGGAGGTCCATAATTATTGGAGCATTGCGGTGTGGTCCTATCCAACTCAGAAATACACGTGGAACCTGTACTATTTGATGGGATAAATAACCCATAAATACCCCTAACATTTCCCAAAGAACATTCAGAGAAATACCAGCCAGTGAGATACTTAAGGACACGATGTTGTAGTGAAATTAGGGAAACCTCACATTTGCAATCCCTGTTTTGAAGCTTCAAGATCATTAAAACCTTCAAAATTCCAAGAGATCACACAGTGGCACCACCTGGTTCATTTATTCAAACCAGCTGTGGTCCATAGAACCTTTTGAGATACCTTTCGGAAAACAGCCCCAGAGGAAGAGGTTGGGTTTAACACAGATACCCAAGGTGGACGTGAGAGTCCAAGGATGACCCCAACCATGGGAAGGGCAGCCTTCCTCCCATGATACTCCCAGAACTACAGAACCAGACCCACATCACTACCACCCAGCACAGTGGGAGGAGCGACTTTACCACAGCCCTGAGCACAGACTTAAGAAAAAGCCCCAAACAGAGAGGTGAAGAAGGGAGGAAAAACCTGCCCCTCTAAAGAGACAGAACACCAGGGGGCGGGTGCAGGCTCCCCGAGCAGGACTCACCATTGGTGGTCGTGTTGACATAGTACCGCCGGCCCTGTGGTGACAGGTAGCTTTGCCAGCCAGGAGGAAGGATGACAGTCTGGCTCTCTTCTCCTGGCGGAGGGGGGACCATTCCAGGCTTCTGTTGGAGAAGAAAGAGAAAAGTCACACCCATTTGGCATTTTTGCAAGTTTTTAAACCAGGAAGGCAGAGGCTGATGAATTCACCTTAGAGTAGCTTGATATTGGGAAGTATGTAGCCCACAAGCCCCTGAGGTCACAGGCAGCACACGTGTGATCTCAGGGGCTGCAGGAGCACCAGCGGTGAGAAGCACCTGAGCATTCAGAGCCCCTGCACAGGTGGCAGCTCCTCTGGGAGCAAAGAGAAAAATGCCATTCAGATAATGGAGCTGGACTTTCTCAGCGGCCCCCTAGAAAATCACTCACAGGGTGCTGCGCTTACAAGGGAGCCCTGTCACTCCACCAGCTCCCACTGTGAAATCTGAAGCCTGAAATTCCCAGACCACGAAGCATAGCAGCAGACAAGGCCCCAGGCCTGCTGTTCAAACCTAGCAGAAATAATTACCGCAAGTCATCACACAGCGAGATGCAAAACATTCTATGATAATGCCGAGAATCCATGAAGAGCTGGATGGAGCTTCTCTCGCCAAGTGTCCAGATCACTCTGGCAAGAAGAACTAGGACTCAGAGACAGAACAGACGCTGACTTCCCATTGTATGCACTTATGTGTGGTTTAATTCTTTTAACCATGTATAGAGTTATTTTCGTTAAAATTGAAAAATAAATAAGAGAGGCCAGGCACAGTGGCTCACGCCTGTAATCCCAGCACTTTGGGAGGCTGAGGTGGATCAAGCGGTGAAGAGATCGAGACCATCCTGGCCAACATGGTGAAACCCCGTCTCTACTAAAAATACAAAAATCAGCCAACTGTGGTGGTGTGTGCCTGTAGCCCCAGCTACTCGGAAGGCTGAGGCAGGAGAATCGCTTGAACCCAAGATGTAGAGGTTGCAGTGAACCAAGATTGCGTGCTGCACTCCAGCCTGGGTGACAGAGCAAGACTCTGTCTCAAAAAAAAAAAAAAAAAAATCGAGTAAAATGTATATGACATACCAAGAAACCAGATATTGAGTAGACAGATTAAAAAAAAAAATCACATGATCCCTGGGTGGTAGGATTACACACATTTATTATTCTCTCCTTTCTACATATCTGTTCTAATTAAATTTTCTCCCATAAACACAAAAATAAAATTTGGTAGCTAAAGAACATTTTAAAATTAAGACAGAGAGTCTAAATTAGCCAACAAGATTGCTATGCCTTTTGAAGTAAGCAAATTGATTAAAATAAAAATTCTAGCCACAGGAAGAGAGTAGCCATGAATTTCTCAGCAAAGCCAGAGCTTGTTCACAAACATTAAAGGGAATCGGCTCCCAAATGTCCTCAGTATCCCCCAGCTGTACCCAAAGTGCTGGCCACTGGTGACACCTGCTTAGAAAACAGGATAACAGAATGAAAGAGAGCAGCAGAGACACATAGCTTCCAGGCTGCTCTTCCACTTTGCGAAGGTTTGCAAGACCACGTGCTGTGACTTCCCGTGGTGCCCTGAATGTCATCAGAGGGAACGAATCAATCTGAGCTGGTCAGAGACTTTGAGTAAACACAGCCTCCCTTCTGCCCACTGTGTAGCTGCAGTGTATGTTTCATTATGAATTTTTACAACTTAATTAAAAGCTTTCCCTGATGCCCTAGATGCTCTGTCTCCTATACCTGCTAATCTGCAGCTCCTGTTTGAGTCCGTATGGAAGACCACCTTTTTTTTCTTTTAGATGAAATTTTGCTCTTGTTTCCCAGGCTAGAATGCAATGGTGCGATCTCAGCTCACCATAACCTCCACCTCCCAGGTTCAAGCGATTCTCCTGTCTCAGCCTCCAGAGTAGCTGGGATTATAGGCATGTGCTACCACACCCGGCTACTTTTGTATTTTTAGTATAGACGGGTTTCTCCATGTTGGTCAGGCTGGTCTCAAACTCCTGGCCTCAGGTGATCCGCCCACCTTGGCCTCCCAAAGTGCTGAGATTACAGGCATGAGCCACCGCGCCTGGCCAGAAGACTATCTTCTAAGAAAGAGGCCTCCACACGGTTGTAGCCTCTCCAGGATTGGATGATGGCCAAAATACATGCAAGACAAATAGGATTATAACAAGATGCATGTGTGCGCGTGCGCGTGTGTGTGCATGCACATGTGCATGTTGAGAGAATGAGAAGTATCCCATGCACAGGAGAAGTATGTTCTGTCCAGTGGGACTAGGAATAAAGTAAGCATGGGGGCATCAGGGGATTAAAAAATGAGGGTTAGGTCCAGGTGCAATGGCTCAGGGTTGTAATCCTAGCACTTTGGGAGGCTGATGTGGAAGAATGGCTTGAGTCCTGGAGTTTGAGACCAGCCTGGGCAACATAGGAAGACTCCATCTGCAAATAATTTTTAAAATTAGCCAGGTGTGGTGGTGCACATGTGTGGTCCCAGCTATGTAGGAGGCTGAGGTGGGAGGATCACCTGAACCTCGGAGGTCAAGGTTGCAGTGAGCTGTGATTGCACCACTGCACCCCAGCCTGGGTGACAGAGTGAGATCCTGTCTCCAAACAAAGAACAACAACAAATAAAAAACACACAACAACAGGAATGAGCATTTGATGAAAGAGATTCTAGAACCAGGGGGCGAGGTGCCAGGTATCCTCTCCTTGAGTGAAATATTCTAGTTTCTCCTTCAATCAAATATGGGAAGGCCATATTGGTGTTTATCCAAACAACTTGCGGGGGAGATGGGAAGGATCAAATACTGACATGGCCAGAAAAGGGGTGCAGCAAAGGGGACCCATAGGCACAGTGAAAACAGTCCTCAGGCTCAAACAGCCTTCAGTGCCAATCCTTCCTGGACCGCTTAGCAGCCACGTGACCACAGGCTCCTGACTCACCAGGCTATTCTGGAATCTGTCAAATGGAGGGTGATCATATGAAGACAGGAGACAGTTAACAATAAACAACCTGGCACTAAGGATGCACAATGAATGGGGATTTCTGCTGAAGGGCTTCACACGGTTTCTGTCTCCGGCGATACCTACCTCCACCCTAGCCTCACCATCCCTAGGTCTGAAATGTCACTATCAACAGTGACTTCTCTGAGCTTTCTGTTTCCAACACTACCCGACTCAAAAGACAAACACCTGCTGGGAGGTTAACGGCGTGAGAGCTGGCCAGTGCCAGGTGAGAAGGCTGCGCAGTGAGGAGACCACTCCTTACAGGGGCTGGACAGCCACTGGACCCAACCCGTGACCCTCAGCGCCCCACCCATGAGAGACCAATAGTGACACCATCCCTTCTCCACAAGACACTGATGACCAAGGAGGTCTCCTCCAATGAGGAAATTTGGGACCTTATAGAAAGGAGGTGCCCTGACACTGAGCCTTGAAGGGCCATGAGATGCTGACAGAGGGGAGGAGGAGGACACTGGGGCCACCAGGCCCATCTCCTACTGTGGCTGATGTGGCAAAGCTGGTCTCCACATCTCCCTCCTGCCCGGCCATGCTCTGCCTCCATCTCCCAAGGCAGCCACAGCCGCTTCACCTTTCCCTTCTCTTAGAAAGAAGTTCCTCCTAACAGCTGACTTTCAGCAAGTCAGAAGTCAAAAAACATGGAGACAACCAGGTGTTCTGGAGACCCAGAAACCTAGAAACAAGGAGTTAAATAAAAATTGGTACACAGATGTTCGTGGCAATATCGTTTGTAATGGCCAGAAAGTGGAAACAACTCAAATACCCATCAATAGATGGATGGATAGTGTACTATAGCCATACAATGGAATATTATTCGGAAATTTAAAAAAATGGAGCAGTGATCCATGCTACAACATGGATAAACCTTGAATACATTATGCTAAGTGAAAGAAACCAGACACAAAAGACCGCGTATGGTATGATTTCATTCACATGAAATGCCCAGAACGGGCAGAGCCATAGAGACAGAAATAGATTTGTCTTTTCCAGGGGTCTGGGGAGGGGAGAATGGGTACAGATTTTCTTTTTGGGCTAACGACAAATGTTCCAGAACCAGATCATGGTAATGGCTGTACAGTATCATCAATGTATAAATATCACTGATATTGTCATATGTATTGTACCATAATTAAAAAAAACATTTTAAAATGTGGCGAAGGCAGAAGTTAGACCTCCCTATCTTCAAGTCCTCATTTAAGAGCCAACAGCGACCAAGCACAGTGGCTCAAACCTGTAATCCCAGCACTTATAGGAGGCCGAGGTGGGTGGATCACCTGAGGCTAGGGGTTCAAGACCACCCTGACCAACATGGTGAAACCCCGTCTCTAATAAAAATACAAAAAAAAAAAAAAATTAGCCAGGTGTGGTGGCTCATGCCTGTAATCCCAGCTACTCGGGAGGCTGAGGCAAGAGAATCACCTGAACCCAGGAGGCAGAGTTTGCAGTGAGCTGAGACCGCACCACTGCACTCCAGCCTGGGCAATAAGAATCTAACTCCGTCTCAAGAAAAAAAAGAGCCAACAGCATCAGCATTATCTCACCCTTCATGGCTATGGAGGGGCAGGAGCAGCAGGCCCCCAGTCATCAAGAGGATGCAGTATGCATTACCACCCAATAATTAAGGGCTCTCTCAATCTTATTCTTCTAATTAGTTTCCTTCCAAGTTAAATCCTTCCCTTCTCTTCCTTAGTCCTGTGGCTTTTTATCCCCTTAATTGTGTCAGCACTTTCCCATGGGAATAGAACTAGAAGCAGAGGTGACACAGGCCCAGGTGGTTGGGGACAGACCCCACCTGGAAGGAACAAGATCAGAGGTAGCAGGAGTGGGGGTGGGGAAAAAGTTTTTTTCTAAACTCAGATATTCTTTACCTAATGTACAGGGTGTGTTTGTGGGATTTAGAAAACATGGCCTCTTCCTCTGGAAGGGACCAGAGTGCAAGGCCAGGCTTTGGTCCCTCTCCATCCACCCTCATCTGCGCCTCCTTGTTCAGTAGGCAACCGTCTCAATGATATATATGGGAAGTCCATCCTTTAAGAATATGAGGAAGGCTATGGATCTTCTGTCCCCTAA